CGTCAGAGCAAGACTCGAGGGGGGACTGGATGTGATTGAATACTGCCGCAAGCCGGGACATCATGGCACGGTGTTCGCGAAGTTGCGCAACGTAGGTGGAAATGCCCGGGGTTTGCATGTCGAAGAGGCACCGAGCCATGTAACGCGTGGTTTGCGGATTATCCAGCAGGTCCAATTTCGTGTACGTCGTCACGTACAGCAACTGCTCGACTGATAAAGTCGTCGGGCCGTGGTCGGGATGGAATGCGCGGTGAATGATGGCGCGCCGTTTAACCAACGGATCGCCATTGAACCAAGCCTTGAGTAGCTTTTTAAGGATCGGGGCATATAGCGTAGGATGTCTCAGGGCATGCAGTAGATGGCGGGGCGTTATGTCACCGAGGGTGATGCCCTTCTCGCGTATCCAACTACCCAGCGAGGATACGAGTATGATGATGTAGAGCGCGATGGCGAGGAGCACAGCGCCAATGGCGCTCGCAACCGGTCGTAGGATGAATGTCACGGGTGTGCGATAAGGGCAAGTCTGGTCGTACAGGGGCAAGCAGCTTGCCACGAGGTAGAGAAATGCGGCGACGCCAGAGCAAATGGCAATGATATAACCGATGATATGGTTGAATGTGAAAAGGAAGAAAGATAGCCCGAGAAGGAAGGCTATCACGGCCAGATGCATCAACCCGACGACCGTCGTCGAGAGACGATCCAAGCCGTAACGGTGAATGCCCATGAAAGAGCCCAGTCGTTTGAGTGCGTAGCCCTCAAGGGTCTCGGGCGTGGTCAGATCAATTATCGTGATAGGCTCCGCCATCCAGTCCAGGATCAGAGTCGCCAGTAGTGCTGCGAGAAGGGAGAGCAGTAGGGCGAAGAACCAGAGCGCGTTGTACACGACGTTCATCGTTGGGGGATGGAAGGGTTTTGGATCAACCGCAACCAACGGCTCCAAGTTCGACGATCGTACGAGCTGACCCAAAAGCGCGTTCGTATGATTGAGCGCCATCGTGAACGCCTGGATTTGGGGATCGACTGAGAGGGACTTGTAGCTGTCCACCAAAAACGCCGCAACCGTCGCGGCGAAAAGGCCTGCCTGGTGAACCATGGTCAGCGGTAATCAGACACAATTGCAAATTACACAGACAAAGGTCAAGAGGCCGGCCATGGTCGTCTTATTGTAGCGGGCGAGATCCCCTTGCTTCTTGTCTATGCCTCGTAGGAACAACAACCAGAAAGAGCTCCCCCCTCCTTCATCGTCTACAACACCCGAATACTCGTATTTGTCTTCACGGAGTTGGGTATACATTTGAGGGACAGGGAATGTCGAAGAGCGGCTCAAAGGCAGGTAGATACTCTCCGTCAATTGGTGCTGACGAAGGGCAGGGAGTAAGGGACGCCTCGTTTCTCATAGCGAGAGCCTGGCGGAAAAGGGGTGCCTGACACGTGTTTACATCCGGACACGGCTACACTGTGCAATGGTATGGCTCGATGCCCTCGTAGGGCGGTCTGTCTCCTTTAAGCTTGAGTTTTGACCAGCACATAGCACACAGCACCTCACAATCATCTAGCTCAACCTCTACTGAACGAAATACAGTTCGGTGGCCCGCGTACGTGTGAGGAGGAAGTTCCGGAATTGCCAGGTGGGTTCAATGTATCTCGAGGTAATCTAATAAGAAGCACAAGCCAAATTCGCGAGTTGAAGAAGTTGCTCAGCGAGCAGAACAACAGGGCCAATCGAATAGCCCGTACGAACCGCTGTCGAATACTGTACGTGAATACCATTGAATGGTTTCGCAGATCAGAGAAGCGCGAAGCGAGCCGTTCCGGGACCTGAATAGGAAAGGAACGAATCTCACGTCGTGCATCCTGGCCCATTCGGCATAATTGCAGATGACCGGTGACAGATGATCCTTGACTAGGAACTTGTACTGAGGTGAACACGCACGTCGACTTGGAAGAGGTACGGAGTGGTACACTTGTCACTCGAGTGGAGTTGCGCAAGTATGCCGTCTACTTATATGACTTCTTTTCCAACAATGACCCCCAGCCTGCTCAAAAAGCCATCTCCGGCCATGGGTTGGCCTCCCACGGACACCGGTACCGTGGGTGGCTGACTTCTTGTTGGATGGTCGTCGTATATTGAGATGCGGACAACTCTTGAATCATGGAGCAAACCAATTCAAAGCATGAATGCCGTCACTCTGTCGTGGGCTAGCGAGCTTATTCTCCAGCCTTCACAAACTGGAGTCCCGCGTTCCCCGGGCGACACCTTGCTCGCGGGCTCAAGGTCATGGGCCACGTACTGTACAAACGAGGTCTCCATCTACCCAATGCAAAGCCGGTGTCCCTCGGCTGCATAGACCGCAAAGCTCAATTCAGATGTGCAGGAATACGAAGTTACGAATGAATGGGACTTTTGGGGCTCCCCGATAGGACTCTGTCATGTTGCGCATCCCCTCAGGTTCGGTAAGAAGCCAGAGGACCGAAGGAAGGACTGACAGGAGCCAGGAGCGAGGGAGGGTGAGGGGCGTCGCATAGATAACGACGATCCCATCGGACATGATGGGACTACGACATCGGTAGATGAGGTTGAAAGACCTTGCTCGGAACTCGCAAGGTAATTGGAACAAAGACGCGAAGCACTGCGATATGGCTAGCTCTACAACCTTCGCAGGGAGGTCCGCTTTCCCCGGGCTGCCGGCCCCTCTCTCCTTCTCTCCCTTCCGTTCCGTTGGCGGCACTATAAAGCGCTGAATCGTAGCTCTCCAGCGATGCCCATAAAGTGGTCAGAGCGGGAGGGAACCGGAGGAGGTTGGGCGAGGACGCGGCGGCTTCGGGGCTGCGGGCTCGGCTGACGCGCCCACGTGTTTTGCCGCGTGTGTCGCAGAA